GCTTCTCGGCCTATATGTTTAATCTCAAAGGCAACAAAGGAAGCCAGTTAGATATGGCATCGCATATTATCTTATCAAAACTTCAAGTATATCAACAAGCTCGTAAGCAAGTCATTGGTATACCAGAACTAAGATTTGACAAGAATTATTTGTGTTCCACATACAAAATGAGTAAGATGACTATAAGTTCTCATAAAGCCAAAACTGAATCGTCTTGAAAATCTCCTCTCGAGATGATTCACATGGATCTGTGTGGACCAATGTGGACTCAACTGTTAGGTGGTAAAAAGTACATTTTGGTGATGGTTGATGAATATTCCAAATATATGTGGCTAGAGTTTCTAAGAGCCAAGTTTGATGCACCGAAGATAATTATTGCATTTATCAAGCACATTCAAGTTCTTCTACAACTTCCTGTGCAAAAGATTTGACGTGACAACGACACAAAATTTACAAATGAAACCCTTCAAAGTTATATTCACTCTGTTGGGATTTCTCATAATTTTTCTGCTGTTCAAACCCCACAACAAAAATGGAGTTGTTGAAAGAAGAAAACCGGACATTGGTTGAAGCTGCTCGCACAATGCTTGCATACTCTGGCTTACCTCTGTATATGTGGGCTAAAGTTGTTTCTACTGCATGCTTCACATAAAATTGCACGATCATTGTCAAAAGATTAAATAAAATTGCTTATGAGATAATCAATAATCTCAAGCCTAATGTCAAATTTGTTCATATTTTTGGCTACAAATGTTTCGTGCTGAATGATCGAGACAATCTAGGGAAGTTTGATAAAAAGGCAAATGAAGGTTACTTTATTGGATATTCTCTCAAGTCAAAAGCCTTCAGAGTCTACATCTTACGAACAAAGATTGTCATTGAAAGCATCAATGTTAGATTTGATGAAACATCGACTTCTGAACAACACGGTTCATGACTCAATCTACAACCGTTAGCTTCTACACAAAGAAGTGTAGAACCTGTACCGAATAACAGGACAACGAATTCTAACTCTATTGTTAAATCAAATTTAAATTATTGTTTAATGATGCATTTGAATTAACTTGGGATATTCTTGTAGAATATGAAGTATCCGACTTACCCAAATATAATGAACCAGTGGTCCCAATTTCGCAAGTTACACAACTTTCTGGACTATCTAAAGCTTGTTATTCAACATCAATTTGTGTTCATCCAGAAACTATTGAAGTTACTGAATCTGAGCCTGTTCAAGCTGAGGCACATACTCAATTTGAAATTGTTTAACCCAATGTTGATCAATCTAAGTCTACTTTACCTACTGATGAAGCTAAACACTCAAAAATTGAAGCTGAATACAAGTTGTAACGATATTATCATGTTTGAGGGGAGCTTATCAATATTTGAAATGATTGATATTTAGGAGAGATTGTTCGAGATTGTTTAAAAGTTAAAGAAGTTTGTTCCTTGAAGGAGATTGTTAAAGATTGAGGGAGATTGTAAAAATTATGAAGAATTAGAGAATGTCTAAAAGTCAAGTATAGAAAGAGTTTTCAAATGGGAGATTGCAAAAGCTATGAAAGATAATATCTGTCAAAGTTTGTTGAAGATTTTTGAAGATCATTGTTGTTAAAGCTGAAGTTTTAAAAATCTAAAGAATTTGCTATTTTTGGACTTGAATCCAAAATAGGAGATTGTTGAGTTTAAAAATGTTATATTCAAGTCCTTGTGCTTAAAGTGTTTTATTATGCTTTATAATATAGTCTTAATGCTTTGTAGTTAGTTTGTTCTTTGTAATCTGTTGGTATAAATAGGTTGGTAGTTTTACTAGTTGGTTAGAAGCGATTAACAAATTTCTTAGCATCGAGAGATTTACGTGAAATCATTGAGAGAGAGAGAGAGCTCAAGAACACTCTGTACTTTGAACATCATCAATATACGTGCCGACATAAAAACTTCTGCAAATTTGTGTTCTTGATCTTTATTGTTATAGACTTGAAACTAGGATCTATAGAGGTTCAGAGAGATAGCAAGTTTTTCTGATGGTACTTTGAAATTGATCAAGATGCAATTGAAGAACAAGCTTGATGTTGACAAAAACGAGAGGATAAAGATGGATGAGAGGGACAAAGAATTGATTGTCAAAGCTTTAGATTATATTGAAGATCGACTGCAATTTAGGAACATTATCAGGAGGTTTGAAACCTATTTTGGTCTTAGAAAGAAAAGAAGAAGGTTTGTATAAAGATTGTAACCTGATTACAAAGGGGGAGAATGCTGAGGTTTAAATTGTAATTGTAATCAAGGTATAGGGGCTTATCTTGTAAATACCCTTGGGATACAAATACATTTATGTTAGTTTGTTTAGCTAACCAAGCTTTCTCATATTGTAACCATATTTTGTAAAACTCTCTCAATATCAATACAAAGAAGATTTTTCTATTGATGATTTCTTGAAGCTTTTATTAATACAACTTGATTTTGGGTTTAACACTATGATAGGTAAGTGATACTTGGAGAGATCATTGAAGTTGAACACAACAAGTATAGCGTAGGACCAAAGGATTTGCATGCCTAGGCTAGAGTCTCTGCTTAGCTGGGCCAGAGGCTCTGTTTCTTCATGACTTAACTTCTGGTCGAGTAACTCTGCAACTTCAGCTCAGGTTCTGGTCCAACTTCCTTTTAGAGCATACGTCTTCTAGTTGAGGACTTGGCTTATTTTTACAATAAAAAATGATGTAAATACACAACATCCCTATAGCATCATGAGGCAGGGACATCCAGGGATGAGTTCATCACTAGTCCCCAACATCATAATGATGGCTTCAGTTCTTCAATTGCAAATAAGATTTTCTCAAAGTTTCAATCAAAAGTTGCCTTTCTTGACAAGAGATTTGATAACCGAAGCATAGCAGAATTTAGCTTCATCAAAAAAGTGGTGGACAAACAAGGTTGGTCAACACTATGTGAGGTACAACATTCATATAACTTAACTTTTGTCAGGGAATTCTATGTTGTGACCTTTGTTTGTAGTACTACCTCGATCAAAATAGGAGAAGTCAAAGTGTCCAATTTTGAGGTTTGAAAAAATCTGTGATAAACATGTGAGAAACAACCTGTTTGATATAATATGTGTGATACAATCTGTTTGATACAATCTATATGATACAAGTTATGATAATCATGTAATACAACCTGTCTAATACAAATTATGTGATATAATATCTGATAATAGTGTGATACAACTTGTGTGATACAATATGTGATAATTGTGTGATTCAACATGTACTCAATCGTGATATGAGCTCAATCGGCTAATATGTGATACAAACTGTGATAATCGCGTGATAGTCAGACGTGATCATACAAGGAACTCGAGCATAACCTTATCGTGTGATAATCATGTGATATTGAAGGGAAGACCGAACAACCTGTATTAATCGTATGATATAGAAGGCTGACCAATTTGCTCTAATTTTTTTGATAATCGATTATCACAGATGTGATAATTGTGTGATAGTTGAAAGTATCATGCGCTAATCGTCCATAGTTGTTTCATACTCTCAATTTTACCTCTACAATGTCTTTAATATCTTTAAAAACGTTTTAATATTCATTTAAATTTTAAAAATCCCTCAAATCTTCTTAAAAAATGATTTAAAATGCAATACTTGACTTACAAGTGTTCTCGCGTTTTCATAAATCATAGGGGTTCTTATTTGAACCCTTCTCTATATAAACACACACACACACATATGTATGTATAATGTAAACGTATATACACATGGTATTGATAAGAGTCAGAGACAAGACTCCATCTTTTTGCATCACCTTCTCCAATGATACACACCGAGATAATAAGCCAACTTCGATGACTCAGATTCGTCTCCAGTGGAACAGACCCCAACTACTCCTTCTCTAGTAATACACACACCTCTATCCTTTCTCCTCTAACCAAATAAAGAAGGTAAGACCAGGTGCCATCATGACCCCCCTCTCTTCTAGATTCTTCATCTTCAAGAAAGAACAGATGCCCGCAATTTTTTAATTTGATCAGTAATAACATAATTTTCTATCGGTGAGTTTTTGTCCAGAGGGCTTCAATATTTTCTTCCTCTTTTTCACTTTCATAAATTATTGGCAACAAAAATAAGGTTATGATTTTAGTTAATCTACAAAAGATATCTATTTTATCATGGTGTTACCAAGAGGTTTTGTTATGGTGGTTTTTATTCCGAGAGGTTTCGAAGAGCTCATAAGGACATTGATGGAAAAACTCGGCTGAATGTAGACAACACCCATTAGTTGGCTAATCAAATAAGGCATTAATAAAGTCACTGGTCATATCATTAAGCCGCAACCAAACAACCACATATATCTAATCGAATAAGCTACATAGTTTATTCCTTTCCTTGCTAACAACTTAAAGGCTGATTACCCAAATACTTACCCGGTAAATGCTTACCAGTAGAAATCAACACTATAATCTATTTTACCAGATAAGATTATAGTATATTAAACGGTATCGTATACAACAATTTACCCGGTAAATGCTTACCCGAATAAGAAAGGTGCTTGGGATTGCTTATAAAAACTACTTTTTAACTTATTTCAGTCTGACACCAGTGATAAGCTGTTTTCTGGTGTTTGGATAAGAAAAAAAAAACTGCTTATACCGGTGCCAAATCGGTAATAAGCTGTTTTTGATAAGTTAATCATTCCTGACTTATGAAAAACTGCTTATTACCAATTTATAATTTTAACCCTATTTTGTTTAACTCTAATTTAATACCACATAAGTTAATAAACACTTTTACAAAAAAACATAAAGTTGTTTTAAATAAACAATCTCAAACACCCTTAAGAGTTCTCACCATCACCATCACCATCACCATCACCATCACCATCACTTACGAGGTAAGACTCTTTTTACTGGGTAAGACACTAAAGACTGCCCCTTGCTTTCAAATGCTCTTTTAACGTTCCATTCCTTCCTGCGAACATTTTTTGCGAACCTGAAGGTTAAATATCTCAAGTTTTTAAACAGAAACCCTCTATAAACCCTACACCCAACTGTCGCGCCATCCGACGATGAAAAAACAACGGCGACAAACAACAGAAGAATCCATGGAAGTATCCACCGACGCCGCTATCTCCTTCGCCGGTGAATCAGATGTATGCCAACAACTTCTAGACCGCTACGGCAAGTCCGCCGCACCTCAACACCGCCACCTCTGCGCAACCGCTGCCGCTACTCGCTCTATCATACAAGCCGAATCTCTGCCACTCATACCACTTTCTTACTTCGCTGCCACCATTGATGCCCTCTCTGATACCTCCAGAATAACCCATGACGCTGATGCAGTGTCTGCGCTGTCGTCCTTTTTGGCAATTGTGTTGCCTCTGGTTCCTGAGAAGTCTATAGCGACGTCCAAGGCGGCTGAGGCTACGGAGATTGTAATTGAGTTGATGGAGAGTCCATGCGAGGGTTTGCCTGTTTCGAGTGTGAGGGCTTTGGTCAAGTGTTTGGGGGTGTTGCTGGAGTTTTGTGATTTGGACGATTGGGAGTCGGTTAAATCAGGTTTTCAGACGCTTATGAAGTACTCAATAGATAAGCGTCCAAAGGTATATTGTCTCTATTTCTACTGGCTTTGCTACATTGTAAATTTGTGCCAGTGGGAACAATAATCAATGGTTTTAGTAGTAGGTAATAGGTTATCATTTTCTATAAATCAAACGAAGCGCATGTAGCAGAATGAACTTTCAAGCATTATTATCCATATATCTACATGTTTCGCTAAAATCACTTCTTCTCTTGCCTAAGCTATACTGTCATAAGGAAAGAACTTGAAGTCAAATGTACAGGTGCACTTTATTGGATATGTTTTTTTTTGAGGAACAGATGTCCTTAACCCTCTGGGGAGGAATCATATTGTTTGCATTGCCCAATGATATACAACTCAGAAATGGAGATAGGGGAAAGATCAAGAGAAAAATAACAATAGCATTGACTAAAGTTCACATTAGCAGAATTTGAATATCTTTCATTAGTAGGACAACTATTTTCACTCATGTTATGTTATATCTGCTTATGCACGAATTGAGGTCCCTGGCCCTAATACTAACTTCCAGCCAGAACTGTAAAGGCTCTGTAAATGCAATAACAATATTTGTCAGTAAAACTCTTATCACTTGCAATCTATGTGGATATGGTATTAGCTAACATAAACTCACCAAACTGATAGCTTTAATTTGTTTCTTCCCAAAAAAAGACATGAACAATGTTTGAACACTAGCATGAGATAAATGAGAAAATAGGTTCTCAAGGGCATATGAATGTAGGTATGCTAAAGTATCCTGTAGCACTTTGCTGGTCCCATTTATAACGTGTTCATGGTTGAATATGATATAAGATTTTTTATATATATACATCATTTGCATGTAAATTAATGTCTGTTTGGTTCTTAGTGCATACTCAAAATACCAACTAATTCTGAGCTGATGCTGTAATTATTCATGCTTCTTACAGCATAAATTAGACATCAACTTGATAATTTACTTTTCAGATGACATTGTGATTTTCTTCCATTTACAGGTCAGAAAATGCGCTCAAGATTGTGTTGTAAAGGTCTTCAAATCTTTTCAATCTCCTGTCAAAAAAAGGGCAAGCAAGTTGGTATTAAAATCATTAAAAACTTATATGCCGTTGGCGGTTAAAACAGTTGCTTCAAGATCTGCAGATGAATCTAAAGATGATAGTTTATCGAAATGTGAACACTTAGAGGTTCTTCATATGTTAAATTTATTGAAATTTCTGGTCCCTTATTTACCTAGCAAAGTCATATCAAAGGCTGTTGTAGAATTACAAAAAGCTATAAGTGTCAGGTTCTCAGCATTAACGAGGCACACTTTTGATGTTATGGAGGAGATACTCCGATTCTTGGAAGTTGGATCGACGATTCCGGATATTGTAAAGATAGTCGCAACACTTGCATCATATATATCTGTGAGACAGAACCCTGTAGACACAATTTTTTCTGCATCAGCTCTACTTGTGAATTTTCTTACCAAATTTCAGATTGGAGATTCAAACAAATGGAATAGTCATTATTCCTTAGTCACTGGCTCTATAACAGGTAGATTTATATCTTTGCTTGATATGATTATATTTTTTGATTATCTAATGATGGGAACAATGAAGAGTGAGCTTTCTAAATTCTAACATTGAAAATGTACCATGAACTCATAAAAACTCATTAATCAAGGTGCAAGAAACACCTACGAATGCAAGATGAAACTCGGAGACATGATGCGACATTGGGCATAAATAAGACAAAAATGTAGAAATAGAGAATAACTATGAATGAGTATAACAGATATATGCTTTCTTTTCTTATTTCATCAAACATTTGCTTGTTGAGAAACATGCACGACTTCAATGCTTGTATTGACGAGAAGTGATGTTTACTATATTTTAAAAACATTTCTTGTTGATGTTAGATGTTTTCTGGTTTTCCACATAGCTGTATTTGCAGTACTTGTACTAACTCTTTGCATGTACTTTTAGGTCTTTTGACATCCGAAGCTACCGCTACAAAGGCATCAATTATTATAAAAGAAATGATAAACGATCACATTGATGTAGATATCCTGTCGAGTTCGAAGATGATGCTTGCCGATGAAAATTATGTTGATTCCAAAGAATCAAGAATTTTGAAATCTTTATGCGATATGCTTCTTAAAGTTCTAAGTACCAATCGAGGAATTCCAAATGAGCATACTTTGGCTGTCATCTCTGTTTTATTTCTCAAACTTGGTAAGTCATTGTGTTAAGGCATACTCAGCGCATTCTTATTGCAAATTATACCTTAGGTAATAGAAAAGCATTTGCAAATATACTTTTAAATGTTTTCTTTTTATTCATTCATGTATATCTATTTGTTTCTTGTCTAAATAGTAGACTTGTTACAACATCCCATATTTTATTCCTGGGTAATAAACCTAATGTGTTACCTTCTAATAGAATGTAGTTATATTTCATAACAATACATATAGTTTTCTATGTTAGTTTCCTACTTAAAATTATCATATAAAATCAATCATCAAAGTTGAAATATCTCATTGTTTCTGTTGTGAGCAAAAATATTGGATAGAAGTGACATTGAGATGCTCATCTACTGCACACAAAGCAAAAGCTGAATGCATTTTATCTTCTTACATGTAGAAGAACAAAGCACTAGCATGCTATTAACAGGTTAACTACATGAAGATCAAGTCAATGGAAAAAGGAGAAAAAATAACTTTACTGAATACTTACTGGATGGTAGACTGGCTAACATTAAAAGCATCAACTTGACTAGCCATGACTCAGGTTGTTAAGCATGCCACTTTTTCCATACTAGTGGACTTGCACCAATTTGGGATATAAAGATAATTTCATTGGGCAATTCTGTTTTCACAGGTTGTGGTATGTTGCATAGCAGAACTGGTCTTGTATATGGTGGATATTTTGATTCCCTTAGAGATTCGGAATCTGTTGATGAGCTTTGTGTCTTTTTTCTCATGTAAATAAGCTAGCACGTAGTAGAAGGAAATTAAAGTGTTTGATGTTTGATTCATTAGGTATGCTATAGGTTCATTATGTTTCTTGTCTGAATTTTTTAGTAGATGAAGACACGGGATGCACTAACATAAATAATGAGTATTTTCGCTTTTATGGAGTGTTTTTTTGTTCATAGAGTTGACATGAGGCTTCAAATGATGTGTCTATGGGTGATGTGAAGAGACTTTCTATGTCTACGGGTGTTCTTTTTTATTGTTTTCATTAGTAGTACATAATAATTCTTGTTAGAGGGGCTTTAAAAAGTTTAAAGGCTTTCCGCCACGTTTAAGTTTTTAATCAAATCTAAAACCCCAAAAGTGTTGGTGGTAGTTGACGAACCACGAAGTTTGTACATTTTGTGGCGGTAAGACACACTTGCACCGCAACCTTTGTTGCTGTTTGTTCATCCGAGAAATGGTTCGCCTTCATTGATTTCCTTCAACCATTGTATCGGACCATGATACGGTTTTCATGAGTACGTTTGCAGGAATTATTCTGACTAGAAGGTACCACCTACCACGCCCTATACCGATGTTCAATCCGAGATTGTCAATAAGTTCGGAGAAACGTAATTCTAAGTTTCGATGTTTCATTCAGGGCATTTACTAATGGTTTGAGTGGCTGCTTGGGTAGAATTTTGGTATAACATGACATACCATTTTGCAACCAAGTGCACTCCTTTCAAGGTTTGTATGGCCGAGACCTACGACAGCTTTACTGTTTCCAGGTGACACTGGCGTTTTGTCTCTCGAGGAGTAGCTGTTGGAAAGGGATGCAGGTTTAGATGAACTGCGGGCTCAATAAAAATTGGAAGATAGCAGAAAAGTCTTCAAGGTTGTTAATTTTGAAGTTGGGGACTGGGTTTATTACAATCTTCAACCGTATAGACAGAAATCTATTTCCAAACGCCCTTATCAGAAACTAGCCGCCCGTTTCTGTAGGTCTTTTCAAATTATTCAGCGAATTGGTGCGGTTGCCTATAAGCTTCAGTTTCTGCTACTGCTTGAATACATCAAGTGTTCCATGTTTCCCAACTAAAGAAAGCTATTGGGTAGCAACAGTATTCCCCATCCTTGTCTCTCCAACTCAAAAAGGATTTGGAGTTAGAAGTGCGGGAAAAGCTATTGATGGGGGTCAGTCAGCAGGCCATGATGAAGGATGGTGGATTGAAGTGTTGTTAAAATGGAAAAATTTACCGGATGCAATTCGCGTTCGCTGACTTCCACCTTGAGGACAAGGTGGCCTTTTGGGGACAGGGCACCAATTTGATTTACATATAGTAGAAGGAATAATCCAAATCAGATCATTGAGGAGGAGACCACCTTAGGGGCAATGGAAGCTGTTAGCCATTCTGTTGGAAAAGGGCAAAGTGGTGAAAAATATGTTAAGGGTCTAGTATAAATAAAGGGGAATGGGAGGAGTAGTGATATGCTGTTACAGCGATCAAAATCAAAAATAGTGGTTAAGACTGTGATTTAATATAGTGGTTATTGCAACGGTAAAATGTTGGCATAGCGGTCTCGCGAGAACGTGTTGTCGAATTGTTTACCCGTGGTTGAATTACTTAAGTCGTCTAAAACAAAACCTATTCTAGGACCAAAATAGAAGTCATAAAACAAGCCACTTAACTCTATAATTGTCTACAATAAATTGAAGGTTGGCTGCTATTTGGGGTTCATTTCGTGGTCATCTAGCGGCCTATAGCCCCGCTAATCGCTGGACCACTATTTGGGACCGCTATTACCCCGAGTACTGCTAACCGCTATTTCACTGCTATATGACCACTTTTGACAGTTATACGATCCCAGAAGATGATCTAGAATTGGGTCAATTACGTTTATTAGAAGTGGACAATCAAGTGGTTGTACCAACCAAAAGTCATCTATGTATTATCGTAACATCTGCTGCGCTATAGCGGGGCTATATACAACATAGGTGGTATGTAGAACTGGTTATTTTGTATGGGAGATCCCAGCGTCTCGAATTGCAAGTTATCTTTTTTTTTTTTTGCTTCAATCCAAGCTTGGCCGACGGTTTCATCTTCAATTCTATTCTTTCTCAATTTCATATTTTTCTGTTTCTCAACATATAGTGGTATGATTAAATAATTTTTTCTGTTAAATACATAATGATTCTTGCCATTTTATGGTTTAAGTTTACTGTGCTTTTCAAATCAGATGATGCTTCTCTTCTCTGAATTATTACATAAGTTGTTACAGGTCATTGGTTTTAATTTGATATTTAGGGAAGAGTTCTCATATCTACATGGGGAGCATACTTCTGAAGCTTGCAAGTTTTATGACAGTTGCATCTGGAAATACTTCTGATGTAAAGCATGTAAGTGTTTTTCAGAATCTGTTTCCATCTGTATAGACAGATATGCTTGAATTTTCAACCTATTATAACCTTTCTACACTCTGTGCATGACTCCGATGACGTAGATTTAGTTATACTAATTGTCTATATATTGTCTGTGATGTTATATTGTTCTCAAGGAGAAGTAATTGATAAAAAGATTAGAATAAACTGCATGAAATTATGTGTCCGTCTCATTTTTCTCTACATTTTCATTTACATATAAATGAAAGGTGGCCATAGAAGGTGAGGCATGCAATGTGCACATAAGTGATGGTGAGGAATGGACCGGTACACATTGAAGGCAAAAGTGGCTCACTCTATTTGTAGGTTGTGAAGGGAACAAACCAGTGTACATAGGGGATGGCCTAGAACCATGCTGAAATTGTTGTAGTGCTAGTATTTGAACATGATGTGCATATTCTAGGCTTCTAGCTTCCTTGTATATTTACTTGGTCATGTACGTCTAGTATAGATGCACTTGCCTAACATTATGTTGTTCGTGCTGATATTTGATATTACAGCTTCAGGAGTGTTTGGGGTCTGCTGTAATTGCTATGGGACCGGAGAAACTACTTGAGGCTATACCTATTACCCTTGATGCCAATCTGACCTGCTCAAATATTTGGTTAATACCTATTTTGAAGGACTATGTTGCTGGATCATCCTTGGGGTTCTTTATAGAGTGTATAGTTCCTCTAGCTGATTCCTTTCAAGAGGCATGCCAAAAAGGTACTTCCTCAAATATATTACGGTTTTGGTTTCTTGCTGTTAAACACATTGCTTTGTGATTCAACGTAGTTTTTCCAGTTATACCCAACCATGACAAGAAGCCTTTAAAATATGTTCCAAGTGTATCATTTTCCTACTATCCTTTGTATACAGGGCCTTCTTCATGGACCGCTTAATGAGAACTCAATCCAAAAGGAACAACTCCTAATCATATTGTGTGATTGATTCCTCTTTACATCATTTGATAGCACAACTATGGAGTGAAAATGCTTACTTTCTCATCTGTTGTTTCTTAAAGATCTTACACTTTTTCATTGGTGCAAGTGTTTTCATACGATGCATTGTGGTGACGAGTCAGGATATGTATTTCCGTTTATGTGCCTTTCTCTTCACAAAAGCCATGAAGGGTTATAATGTAATGGTAGAGAAAATATAACTTCATCATGGAATAAATTTGTTCTTTTTGCCAGTTAAAATGTCAGTAATTCGAGAAGAACTACAGGCTCATGCCCGAGGATGTTGGGAATTATTGCCTGCCTTCTGTCGCTATCCACATGACATGCATCAAAATTTTCAGTCATTGGCGAAACTTCTGATTTCATGCCTCAGAAAGGATTCCTTTATGCTTGAGACTGTGGCCCTTGCCTTGCAGGTAATATCTCTATTCTTTGATTATGTTGTAAAATTCGCTTTCCTTTATGGTTCTTTTGATATGCAAGCATGCTTGCCTTTTGTGTAGCATCTTGTGAAGCAAAACAGGAGTGTCCTTAGTGCTGACCAGGGTGATGTAGAGGTCTCCAAACTTCCAAAGACGAGTTACTCGAAAAAAACTGCTACCAGGAACATCAAGGCCTTGGCATCATGTTCAGAGGAGTTGCTTCAGGCTTTTACCAAACTTCTTGTAAAGGTGCCTCTTGAGAAGCATGCTTTCTTAAAGGTCATGATCATTTTCTCCTTTCTTTAATTCTATCACTTCACTAATTTCTTGTTTATTTCATCCATCTCATTTTTTTTCTTCGATTTGATTAATTTAGTAACTTGTAGGAGTTTGTTTTATTTATGTTAGCAATTGCTACTTCATTGCCCTCTTTCCTTGTGTCATTGGCATGTGCTATGTATATAGGAAGCAACACTGCTTTTTATCCTTCCCGAATCCCTGTATTGGGTGCTTTGGGCATATTTTTTTTCAGCGGTGCATACGCCATGTGCTAAGTATATCGGATAATAGGAAGCAACAATGCTTCTACCCTTTCCGAATCCCTATATTTGGTGCTTTGGGGATACAGTTTTCGGCGGTGCATACCCCATATATCATAATGGATTCCCAAGTTATTAACTATGAATTTCAGGATATGAGAACGAGAATAGTAAGAGAAATTTTGGCCTTCACATTTTCAAGTTAAAAAATAAAAAATTACAATATGAAGCTTGGAAACAAAGGCTAAAATAATTAATAAACTTGAGCTTTAGGATTGTGGAAGAGATAAACGAGTGGCACAAGTTATTTTTTGTGATACTTTAGGCTAACCAGGTGGAATTAACACATGATAGGACCTGGTTTTGCTGGGTGTTTCTATGACATATTTAGCATGTGTGTGTATATACAAATCTAAAACCAAACTGTAACACCCCAAATCCTACTTCGGGTGCCGTTACCTTCTTAAGATACCACCAAGTCTTGTATATGACTTGAAATTTAACTCTATTTTATAAAACTTAGCTTATGATTACATCAGAGTACAAATAGTAGCAGAAACGTAACTCAATAGCTTATAATATAACATAATTTTTCTATCGATTAGAACAACACTACTTCATGCAAATCCTCTTTACTCCTTCCCTGAGATACATACATGAAATACGTAAGCTAAAAGCTTAGTGAGCTGTTATGGTTTCATGAATGAACAATTTTCATGACACTTAACACTTTGTGAATACTAATTCACTAAAATTCTTTATCATGCATAAAAATACTCTTTTGAGAACTCACAACATGTAAGTATACCGTACTTGCCTTGAGGGTTTGCTAACCCTGGGTTCCATAAAGGCTTCCCCATAAGGTCCATTTGCAGGACGCCCCTTCTAGTAATATCCAGTACGTTGGATATTTATGGTCATACATAACATGCAGAAACTTTCATGCCTTGCGTGTAATTTACTTATTTCATAACATGCCATCTTGCTTATCTGGAATATGTAAATGTATCATCAGTTCATGTAATGCAAACATGCCAAAACATCTTATCAAGTTTTTTGATAATGCATAAAATACTATTATATAGCATGTATGTATCTCATAATTCTTACAACGTACTCACGTTGATTACGCCTAGCTTTTTCTTTGATTTCCTACTTCAAGCTTGATAATGTATTTGAAAGTGATTTCTTGTCTGGGTATGGAACTAATGGTAACATTTCAACCATTATTTATAGGTGAATACATTGCATTAACTATTTGTTCTTCTTGCTCTCAAATTATACTCTTATGAGAGTTTAACACCTCATGCTTAAGATAAAAAAATCTTGACACATCATGCTTAAGAAAAAGAATCTTGACACATCATGCTTCTTGCTTTTATTTGTCATGCTTCTAGCTCTTGCTTGTCATCATGAATTTTGCCGACACATGCTTCTAGCCTTGACAACTCATAACTAGCTTGCTTTGTCATGCTTACTAGACTTGCTTTGTCAAGTATTTAGATTTGATTTCTCATGCTTTGCCTTGGAAGCTACTTGTTATTGAAAATATTGATGATCTTAAAGATGCTACAACTGCCGGAACCTTTTTAGTGCACTTAATTTGATCATAATACTTGTATTTAAGGCTTAAAACATTGAAATCTAACAAATACGAAACTAGTGTGTTACACAAACCACTAAACTAATTTTTTGTATCATGTATTTACTTCTATCTAGTGTGTCGATGTTAGTCACCATGTTAGTCTGAAATATCACAAAAAATAACTTCTTGTGCCGCCTTGTTTTCTTTCTTCCACAATCATAAAGTTTAAGTTAATTTCTTATTTTAGTCATTGTTTCCATTGCACATTGTAAAATTTTGGTTTTTAACTTAAGAAATTGAAAGACCAAAATTTCCTCTTGCTACACACACATTCATATAAACGTACCCCAATGTGTTCTCAACTTATTACAGTTCCTTAATTCCTAATCTACTTATCATTCACCTAGATAGCTATATGGATCCTTGCTGCATAGATATGTATGTATCCATATGTGTTTACATCCCAAAGTCTCCAAATGCATACTACAAGTTATTGCCAAATACACATAACAAAAATAAATGAAACATCAAAATCTTGCAAGTCAACTTCATTTTCTTATTTGGAACAAGCATAGTACAAACATCAAGTATCAGCAACTTGCATCTGTATGACACTCCAACGTACTTGCAACATCACAATCAATGTCTACATGGATTTACTCATCTACTAGCACATTTGTATTCAAGGGACAAAAAAACAAAATTTCAATCCCAAGACAACTAATTTGCAACATGAACGACATCTATGCTATTTCCTTGTCATAACCTTGTAAGCATGCCTTACAATTTTAATGAGCTAAAGCCTAAGTGAATTTAATAGATTTTAACTTCACATGCTACGAAAACCTTCAACCTCCCATAGGATTGGCTTTGCTGCGGTTATAGCCTTCTAGGACTCTGGCATTGGGCATAGGCCACCTGGATTAGTGGTGCCTTTGGGTTGCCATTACCACTTAAACGACATGCAAAGGTTCAAATCTTCCTACTGAACTTGTTATCTCATTTTGTACCAAGAATCATACCAAAGTTTTGACTATTTGCATCAAAACATAAATTTTGATCGATGACACACAAATCTTATCTGAGTTCAGCATTCAAAATCTCTCAGTTTTTGACATGCAAGTAATTTAAACCATGATTGAACTTATTCATACCACAACTTCTCTTAAATGAGTTCAATTGCTGCTCTACAATCTAGAAACCCTAGGAGACGAGAATGCCAAAACCAATTCCTATCATAATCATTAAATAGAACTCCAGATTAGCCACCCAAGAATATATCATAATCTAAAAATATAGAAGAGAAAGAGTAAGAGATTAGCAAGTAATTTTATCGTAATTGGTTTGATACTTGCTTCTTTCTTTTTCTACTTTTAGTCCGTAGCCAAGATCATTTCTTAAGTCTTCTTCGTTTTCTTTGAATTCTATGTGAATTTGCTCAATCCTCTTACCAATGTTCTGCTAATAGCTCTTTGAGACGAGAATTTTATATTTTTATGCTCCGATTTGAGTAAATTACCATTCTTAAGCTTCTGAAACAAAATATACATTTGCTTTTAATTAATGATTCATCATTGTATTTAAGTTACGTGATTTAATTTCAATTAAGTTCATTGTGTTAGGGCACTTAACTACTTCTCCGTTAGGCATTGATAAATAATAATTTACCTACTTAAATATCAAGATGTACTTTACACTACAATATGAATATCAACATAATTTTTATTTTTTTGTTTTTTTATTGCTCATCAACATTTTTAGATGGTACAATATGCGTACTTGAATATGATACATGTGTGTGCATAGACTCTTCAAATTCGAAAAAATATCTATCATTTTTGTATGCTTTTGCATGTTTGTAAATATCTGGAGGCAATCTCAGTGCCTAATTGCTAATCAATTTACAAACGTCTATGTGCTCACATGAATTCCTCAAAGATGAAAGACTTGTCGTCTTCTGTTATCTTCTTGGTTAGAGAGTGCAGACATATTTTTTTGTTACACATCACTTTTATGTTCTATATTTTGATGTTGAAAAGGTATATGCTTTACTTTTTGTTACCGCACTTGCTTCTACGTACTACGGCTTACTAAGGAAAAAACATAGTCTATTCCGAAGTTACAGGAACTGTGAAACTTGCTGTCATATGTTGGGGATTGTTTCTATTCCTTGGTCCTCATCTCATCTCATGTTTACATTTCAATTTCCAGGATACCATTGAATGCTTGGCTCTTATCACTGATTCTTCAGCAATAACAAAGATATTCCTTTCGTCCCTTAAAAGATTAAAGCTGAATGTTTCTGTAGATAAGGTGATAGATGATAAATCCTCTACAAACAAAAATGCAAACAGGTATATGTGTTTTCGTATTGTGTACTTGCATTGCTTGGATCTAATTGTGTATGGATTTATAGTTCTGTCTGCTGCCTAGGGTTTGAACCATATTATTCAAATCATTTAACGAAGCATCGGGGGGTTTTGAAGATCTTTTCTTGGTGGCAGTTGTGAATTCCTAGTACTTCTTGGAGTTATCAAAAGAAATGGATCGCTGTAATGGTTTTGACTGATCCTTCAAGATTTAGAATAGATGAACAGAACAGAGAGAGGGAAATAGAACTGAGAATTAGAGAACATTGCATATTTCATTATGCTCTGGAATATCGTTGTACGTCATTTCATTCAACCATGGACACCAAGTATTTTTGCTGCCAAACCTGAGCAACTTCAACTAACCATTCAGTCATCTTTTGATTTTTATTTCTCCTTGTCTCTCCTAAAATCACTTTGATGCTACTTGCCCCTCAGCTCATGACAATAGCCATCCTCAATGTTTGGTGAAGGTTGATTGGGATCAATAGGAAACTTCCCAGTTCAAGTTGTTCTTAAATTTGTACTTCCCTGAACACCTAATTCTAATAGGCAGTTGTAGTAGAAGTTTTTAATATGCAAGAACTCTTAATTTCTACCTCAAATGGGTCTATCTCAATGGTGCTGTTCCTTGCCTTTAGGAGTTGAAGGTCAAGGGTATATTCCCTCCTGATTGAACAATTGTTTTTTTTCAGAAATTATATCAGTTTACTTTTGATAATGTTGGTCATGAAGGTATTTGACTATTTCTGATGGTGTTGTTACCATGGAATATGGTATGGAGGCTGAAATGGAAGTTTCTGAAAGTTTTTATTTCTTTTCATCCTTTTCATTTCTAGTTCTTTTTGTCTCGTTGTATATTGTAGGTGGATGGCCGTGATATTTTGATTCCTTACCAGATCATAGTAACAGAGAAAATAGAAATGAAAAAATGAAATTGTTTTAATCAAATAGAGCCTCTTTTTAATGGAAATTAAAGTTTGTCTTTTAAATAAGTTTTCGTCCAATCCTGCCTTTGTCCAGGTGCTTAATACTTGAGCTAGCATCATCTGTTGTTGGAGCAGCTAGCTTGGATCTCATTGATCTCATATACAACTTTATCAGGCAGAGTTTGCAGGTGTGCTAAGGACCCAATGTTCTGCTAATTCTAACATGTTCATTTTGATGTTCTCCATTTTAGAATTAGTATTTTAAACAACTAAGAAAATACTATACTTCTATTTTTGGTATAGGAAGAGGATGACAACATCCAGAGTGAATCCTATGCTACCCTTTACAAAATTTTGGAGGTAAGCACCAGTAGTATTTTACTCTTAAATACCTTCAAGGATATCTGTTTCATTCTTGTTTTTGTTGTAATCTTGTTCAGAAATCTTCTGGGTTCTGCTCTTCTAGATTTGAGGAACTTGTGGAGTTATTACTTGGTTTCAAGTCCCCTGCCTATGTTACTTCACTCAGATGGCGGTTTTCATGCTTTCGGACCTTGTTAATTCACTCAATTGAGGTTACATTCTCCTTGCTGCTGAAATGTTCTTTTATCTGTCCTTAATTGTTAAGAGTTCTATTACATTGTTAGTCAATTCCCCTTAGAGAATTAATTGTCAAGAGATCTTGATGACAACTCCTTTTTTATGTAAAAGTTGACAAGTATTGCCTTCTAGATTTCTAGATGAATTTACATAGTGAGCTTTGAGATAAAAATCATAAAATACGTAGTGTACTAAGATTTACTGGTGGATTAAGCTCGTTAATAATATTAACCTACCAATGGACTTTGTATGCTATTATGCTATAGTGTTATGATAGGGGTAGGGTAACCTAATATTAACCCCAAGTGTACAATGTCACTCAAGTAATACGTGATAAACACGAGTACCGAATTGTAGGGAATGGTGAGATTAAGTACCACAATAGTGTATATCACTTTCTAAATAAACAATCGGATATCTGAGTGGATTATCTAGGCTAGTTAACCATTTGGTGGACAAGTGGACTATTAAGAATAAAAAAAGAGCACTAGTGTAATAGCAAGGTTGGAAGGATAGTTAGGGGTCAAATTTCATTTGAATTCTGTCATGAAAATGATTTTCTTGTAATTTATTAGTAAAAGTTAGTGGTTGATTGCAACAAACATTAATTTTCTTACGACCTTCTTTCAAGGTGTAACAAGTATGCTTCTTAAGGAACATGTAAAAACTTCTGGCAAACACACACAAATAAGCATAAGAATGTTTTAAGACACAACCGGGGTTTACTTGGCATATTTTTATCCAATATCTCACCTATGTCATATCTCTATGTCATATCTCTATCCAATATCTAAGTGTCAACTCTAGCAGTAATCACTTTGTTATGAGCAAAATCACAACGAATTAAAAGCTGCAATATGACTAATAAAGCAAAGTATTGATAACATGATATAAAAACTAACCAACAAAGTTTTGACTTAACAAAAGTGTAGAAGTCATATATTCGTAACATAATAATTTTGTTATTCTCCTAATATTGAATTGTTACCTCATCTTAGAATCAATAAATAACATCATATGTACAAGGAAACAAATCACTTATACATGGTTTTTCAATACTAAATATAGGAAAAGAAAAACTCTCTTTTATATGATGAAATTCGAACTACCAACTTCATGTTTTCATCAATGCTTCTTTTTCATAATAAACACTAGCTCTCTTTACTGATCCAAAATCACCTCTTGGCACTGTTGCACGCTTCGTTAAACGCACAAAAACGCTTAAACTTATAAACCGAACTCAAACCAAGTATAGGAGTAAGTAAAGTAGGTGTCTATCTTCTTAGGGATTCGGTGGTTAAAGTAATAGTGTTAAAACCTAATGGACGTGGGTCACTTAGATATACTACTCAATTAAATCAATAAAAGCTTAAGACTTATAGTTGAAATCTATTCATCACAATTGATACTAAATCAAATGGACTATACAAGTTATGCTAACCAATTCCTTGTTTAGTATGGTCGGGGGATACCAATGGACTATACAAGTTATGCTAACCAATTCCTAAACATGTTTAATTTAAACACTTAAATGTATCATATATTAAACGTTAAACCCTGATAAAACCCATCACATTCTATCCTAGACGACATATCTATACTATTTAAGCAAATTAAAACTGACATCTAACTAATAAAAACAAACCAAAATGGGTTTATACATTTGTTTTCATGTCGGGTCGACCTCGGAGTAGATTTAGCCAAGGTTTCAAAAGCGAAATTGGGCCTTGAGGTGTTTTCCCTAAACGAGGCGATGCGTAAGTCTCGAGGGGGTCAGAGGCATAAGCCCCTCGGCGGAAATATATATACACCAAAATATGTATATATACTACTCAAATATATAAACACATTTATATACATATATATAATACTAAATTACTAGGGGCACTGGTTCAATGGTTCTTGACAGAGGAAATAGTGAAACCTCAATGAGATAGGTTGAGAGGGTGTGGAAAATTTGGTTGCCTGGGGAACGGGAAGGGTCAAACCGCACTTTGTGATTGAGAGGAGAAAGTACTAGCTTTTTGAGTTTTAAAATATTTAAAGTACACATTAGGGCCATTGGGCTTTAATAAGTAGGAAACACTTATACTATAAAGAGAAGTACTACTGCTATTAAAACCATTACCAAAGCGATCATTTGAGGTGTACGCCTCGACAACGCCTCACGCCTCACCGAACTGCCACACTAAACCAAGGCATAAGCCTCGTTCAAGATCCAAGAGGCGCAATCTCAGCTGCGCTTTTGCGTTGCCTCGCCTAAATAAACAAGGGTTTTGTGTATTGATATTGATATGTAACCTAATTACAATCGGTCTCTATATATAGAGATACTAGTTACATAGGAGTGCCCTCTACATTATACTAATTGCACTTAAGTACATTCAGTCTAATACGCCCCCACAAGTTAAGGACGGGTAATGAATACAGGGAGTATTAGTTACTCTATCTTGGTAGGTTTCTGCATTATTGGAAATTGAGTTTCTTTTAGGAGGTCATTTTGTCGGAATGGTTCAATATGTGGTAATATTTTTTTTTATGTGGTGATTATGTTGGTTTAAGAGTCGAGTAGCAAAAGTTATGCATTTTTTAACATGTCGTGTCCAAGGCGTTGTTGCTTGAGTATTTTATATACCGTGTAAAATTTGCTCTAATAGTTACTTTGCTAATGAATTTCTGTAGAGAACTTCGGATGGAGAGAACACTCATGGTTTTCGTATGCTGAACGAAATTATAGTGACATTAAAAGATGTAAGATCTACCTTCAAGTTACTTCTACCTTTTGTGTTTGCATTTCATTTAGGGAGTTGTCCTCTCATCTCTTTTGATCTGGAAGTACTAGTACATCCCCATGATGCCCTTTCTCTATTGATTTGTTTCACAAATATATCATCAATATGGTTGTGGAGGCATGCAAAGTTATATGTAAAGTTGATAGAAAATTGTTTGGCCCATGAATTTGAGTTTCTCGTATGGTAGATGGTTCTATCTGTATTCATTTTTGTTATTATCCTGTACTAGATGGATTATAATCGGGGTTGGTAGTTTTTCGGTTCCATTGGGCGATTATTTTACTACTCATGAACAAAAAGGTCCTGCACTTCAGTAGCTGGTATTGTTTTATCTGTCTATTTATTATTATCTGATTGAATAACATTCTATGAGAATTTTGAGGGTTGTTCATGAACTTCTTCCCTTGTTTCAAATCTATATCTAGCCAATTAGGGCTAATAATTAGATATCACGTACTTTTAGGATTATCAAATGGAAGTTTTGTTGATGAAAAAATCGTTAACCTTGTATTCGATGACGTAAATGTTCCATCCTAATTAGCAAGTCATTGCTGTTTTACATATGTGTGATTGTTACATGCATAATCATGTTAACATACTTCTAAAGGAGACTGATGATGACACCAGTTAGGAGAGTGGAAAGAGTGACTATAGAGGGGGGAAAGCCTAGGAGGACGTGAGGTTGGACATGGTGGCTTTAGGTATTTCCAAGGACATGGCCTCTGATTGGAGCACTTTGAGATGGAGGATTAGGTAGACTAGGAATGGGGGACGTATGGCTAGCATAGTCGGGGAGAAGGGAGTTGGATAGTGTGAGAATATGTGGAACGCTCATCACTCTCCAAAAGAACCATTGAGGAGAAAAGGGAGGTTCCAACGTATATACAGGAGAAATGGTCCAAGTCTAGCCGATGTGGGACTCCAACACGCTCCCTCCAACAGAGGCTAGATGGACTCAGGTCATTTGATGGTTCTACAAGGAAGACCTAAGCTTCTACCGGTTTGTCAGTTTCGGGCGCAGAGGTTTTTAAGGAACTTTGCCCTAATCAATCGAAATTCAACCTAAATGGTAGGCCCTTAAGTGGATCCCACGTTAGCTCCAAGACGTTGGTCTCTAACTAGAAAAGTAAATGCTTGAGCTTGAGAAGCTTCTGGTCCAGTGGGTCTGTAAAACTCACTAGGATTAGGGAAAACCTCTGAAAAATTTTCAATATTGAACCTTGAGGTTAGTACACAAAGATTTAAGGTAATTTATTCGAATTGCCCAAAGTGTCGGGTCCTTGGAGTGGCAGACCTTGGCTCCGATACCATGTGAGAATATGTGGAACCCCCATATCACTATCCAAAAGATCCCTTGAGGAGAAAGGGGAGGTTCCAACATATATACAGGAGAAATGGTCCAAGTCTAGTTAATGTGGGACTCCAGCAGATAGGTTAGGAGATTGGTAGAGGGCTGGCAGTTTAGACTAAGGTGTTTTTTGTTTTTTAAGAGGTGCCGAAGTCTGAAGTCTTTAATTCACTTCTGAATGATCAGAGGTGGTGCTGAAGTCTGAAAGCAGAATCAATAGATAACTGATAAATGTCTGAATATGTGTATTTGTTTATTTTAACCTTGAGAATATTATAATGTTCAATCTATATACATTTATACAATTTCATCTATTTATCATCATTTACAAACTTTACATCTAATATAAACTAAAATTCATTTTAACTAAAATATGTCATCAATTTTAAATTGATTCAAAGTCCTATCAAAGTATATCGATTGATCCAAACCCAATAGGAAATATGAATGAAGTTTCATAACAACTTAAATCAATCTTCATTTACATTCAAGTCCATTGAAAGTATGTCAATTGATACAAATACCCTTTTTAGATCACACCCGGAGGTGTGAGCTGTAATGCATAAAGTTTGACTTTAATGATCAAATAATAAAATTTAAGATCAAAATAATTGGTCTTATGTTTCATAATACAGGTTCTAAAGTGGGATTGTATTTCCAATGAAGTTTATATACCAGAGGATATGCCTCCAAAGTATCAAACAATAACAAAAATTGTGCTTGCCAAACATTATATATGTTATGCTTGCATCAAATATGCCTAGAGGATCTATTGTTATGGGAGGGTAGGAGCAGGACAAAACATCCATCAAGGCATTGATTTTTCTCCTGTTTGACATGACATAGATTTTGTAATGCCAAATTTGATTTAACTTCATAAACAGCAGAAGTTTCAGTCGATCCCAAAAATTAGTTAACAATCAATAATGAAAGGCAAGATCAAATGATGGACAAATCCATGCACACACTCAAAAATAGAGGTTGAAGGAGTTAACAGTGGGTTGTTTGTGGGAGGAAAAGGTGGTTTATCTTTGTGGGGAGGAAAGAGTGGTTTATCTGGGATGTGAATGATTTCCCAACATTCTTTCTCTCCACTTGTTCATGTTTCAATACACATAATTTAGTTTCATTGTAGTATAAGAAGATGGTTAGTAGTCCTTTGCTTTTATCAACCCAATCAAAAACATATCTTAAGAGATATGTTCCCCAAGTTATTTCTATTGCTATGACACAAGGCCTAATCCTGTAATTCTGAGTACAAAATCCCAGAACAACAATTTAATGGAAGGAATTACAAATTGAATCACACACGTGACTTTATCATCGAACAAATAAAACAGATAGACAAAAACATCCGAAGAAGAAACCCACAAAACAACATTATTCAATTATTCTAAGTTACAAATAAAGAAATCATCATAAATCAACAAGGAAGATGATTGATCTGTACCTATGAGAACATATTTGTTCTTTTGGAAGTGTGAAACCCGATAATAGCTATAATCTTCACAAGGGTTGTGTCCTTGAGAACTGTTCTTCCATAACACAAGGGTGTCTGAACCTGTAAAGCTAATTCCATGGCTGCCCACCTTCTCTGTTCTTGAATCTTGACCACAAATTCACCTGAAAATTACCCTCTTGATCTTTCTCACCTATCAGTGCATAATAACTTTGATAACTGTCGCTGATGGAATATACAATTCCAATGAGAAATAAGGTTAAGTCGGGAGCCAGAGATGGAGAAACAGATCGGTTCGATAGAGAGGGTGAAGTCGGGAGCCAGAGATGAAGCCAATCGATTGAGAGGGTGAAGCAAATCACAGATTGATCGAGTGAGAGGGTGAACCGGGAGCCAAGAAGAGCGATAGGGATTAGGATAAGAGGTAAATAAGGGGTTAGGTTATCTCTTCTTTTCAGAACATTGTAAGTGATAAGAGGGTCTGAAAAGTTGGAGAAAACAATCTGAATGGTTCTACCTCTTACCGAATAAGTGATAAGAGCCTTTTTTGGAAAAAAAACAAGGCCTAAGGTTGTGTTTCTACCATACTTGCTATGTATGGTATTGCCTTACCTTAACTTTTATATGTGTTCAATGTTCCTCTTGGTACTTATTTTCATCGTTCACTATATGTTGATCTTTATTCCTGCTTCTTGTTTGCTCACGCTCTTGCACAAGCTGTGGGTCTTCACAGAAACAACCGCTCTACTCTCTGAGGAAGAGCTTACTGCATAAATCTCTCCCCCCAAAGGCCCAAACCCTACTTTTGGGTCCATTTGGTTTGGGTTTTATGCTTATAGGATTGGAATGCATACACACACAAGGAGCACAAAAGCAGAATCTTAAACATCCTCCCAAGTTTATTGAACCTTCAGTGATTTTTTCAATAGTCACTTGTGAAAGTTATAATTGTTGCATATTTTTTTAATTAGTGTTCTATTGGTTAAATGATATTGAATAAGAGCTAGTTGTTTGTCTTATCATGAAGTTTGTTGATGGATTCCTAACATATTTTGTTTCAGATCATGTTACCTATGCAATTATCTAATTTATCCATCTTAATTTATGTTCCTCTCTTTTATCCACCCAATTTTTCTATTATGCGTGTTTGATATAATCTACTTTTGACCTCCAGTCCAAGGAAGAAAGCAGAAAAGTGGCATATGATATACTTCTAGGGATGAGCTCTAGCTTGCAAAAAACGTCATCTTCACCCGACAAAGGACCTTATTATGAATTCATCAGCATGGTAATTACACGCTTCATTGAACTTGCTTTAGGAGCTCAAAACATTCTTATAATCTCTTCTATAGATAATGAAAAAAATATGATATGGACTAGAAGTTGGGTTACACATCTGAAGAGAGCTGGCAATGTTACTTTATTTTTCCGCTTGTAAATGTTGAAATCTTATGGCAAAGAAGGGAATAGGCAATGCGGTGTAGAAGAAGTTAGGGGATGTCATATGTATTGTATTAGTGTTTAAGGGCACTCTTGCTTGGCGTAAAGGCTGTCGGTTTGTGTCTTAGAGGACGATGCTAAAGCTTCTAGGAGTTCGAGGCATTTTCACTAAACCTCTAAATGATCTTAAACAAAGCTAATAGTTATATCAGTTCATATTAACTGGATTTCTAACACTACTTCGGTTGAGTGGGTATATTAATCCTGCTCAACATTGAATACATAATGAAAATTTAGTTAACAAAACCAAAGAATAATCATAAAACCCGAACAAGCTTATCACATCCCCATACTCATATTATGCATAAATTCTGAGTACAGAATGATCATTGTCTCTCTATGCAGTAATAATAAATGTTGCAAGGTTTTAAGTAAATGAAGATTCATGCACATACATGTCAATTCATTGTTGTCTTTCACAAGTAATACCAGTAAGCTATCGAGGATCAACCAAAAAAACATTTCTAAGGGCGAATTCAAGGAAATATTTGTTGAGTGTCAGTTTACTGAATTTAAAAAGTTAAAGTTAAATTATATATTAGACTAAAATGGTGCTATAACATCATAAAGTTACTATAGCAAAAAACTCATTTTAATCCAACTGTTGGCTTCTTTTTAGGATTCTTTCGAGATTGAGGATTACGCTTATCCACTAGACTAACTGTCATATTTTTATGTAGAGTTGAAGTCCATATAGAGAGCCTTTGCCCGTTTGATGGTTTCGAGCCGGAAAGTGTACTGGCAAGCATGCACAAACTATATAAATAAGCTATATGGAATGGAAACAAGTCTCCGTGATTCTGAGTAGCTATTCCAAGCATTTCATTCAAATTGATGTGGGCATGTTGGCTTATTTCTAAGTTCAACCCACTTTAACACTTTTAGACAAGTGATTAACTCATCTATGGATGTGTTTATACAATTTAACATTCGATGAAAGGTAGGAAAGAATTGCTATTAATTAGCAACCTTTATGCCAATATTGGTTTTAGTCTTAACATCACCCACACCCAAGGTAAGGTTTTTAGCCTCTCATTGCTTGGGTGGAAAGCATTTTAGATGTAAAAGTAAATACTAGAAAAAGGAATGAAAGATGACAAGCTTGGAAGTAAATGAAACTTTCAAGGAAATATTAGAATAAGTCTTGAAGCCTAAAATGCTTTCAAAAGAGAATTACATAAAGTACTTGGAACCTTCTATCACTACCGTTCATCTACGAAGCATGTACGAAGCAAAAATTGGAGTTAAGCTAACCTATCCCTTTTATAAGCACTAGGGAATAGACACAAAAGCAAAAAGTCCCATCAAAAGTACAAAATCTTGTGACCAGTGGACAATCAATTATGGCCAAAAAACATGCTTCCGAATAAATAATTAGTTAAGTGCATACATGTTTACACCTGCAATGAGCAATGCATGGCCATCGGGAGTTTGTACATGCTATAAAACGAGGAGATACCAAAATATCCTAGGATATTTGGTTAATAATTAAAATGATAGGAATAATATATTATTATTTTATTTGATGGGTAAAATGCTCATGTATATATTATTCGTAAAACAACTAAATCTTTATTTTGGTCGTTTCGTTCAAGGATGGATTTAAGTTGCCACTAGTTCCAGGATCGTCTTGTTTGGCTTATTTAGCCACTCTTCTATTTATTATTGAATTTCCATACTGCTTATTCTTGCTGACGGTAATGTGTAAATACTCAGATAATGGGATATCTCTCTGGGTCTTCTCCTCATATAAAGAGTGGCGCTGTCTCTGCGTTATCTTTAGTTATTTATAATGACTCAAAGATTTGCAATTCGATGCCTGATCTTGTGCCATCGATCTTGGAGTTGCTGCATAGTAAAGCCATAGAAGTTATAAAAGTGAGTTTACCCTACTTGGATGCTCAACCTTAGCTGTGTTTTTTTATTATTGATCTATATAACTTTATTTCTTGGATCTCACCAGGCTGTTTTAGGCTTTCTCAAGGTGTTAGTTTTGAGCCTTCAAGTGAGAGACTTGCAGAATTTTATGTCTGATATCCTCAGTGGACTTCTACCATGGTCATCTGTTTCACGGCATCATTTCAAATCAAAAGTATGTGCTTATTTAACTACGTACTAGTTTAGATTTTATCAAAATGAAATTGAGCATTTTCAAGGTACTAACCTACAGTAGCTATTCCATCATTTAAAAAGCTGGGAGGTGATTTGGCCTGCCTTGCTCAGTGGGGTCTTATTCAGATTTAGTTCAGTAGGGCATAGAAGGGAGAGCTAATGGACAATCAGAAATTTTCATGGATGCGACATTGGGATTAGACCATGCCACTTACTTTTTTAGTTATACCAACTTCTTGTTACCCTGAGTACTTCAGTTTCAGATGTGCTTTTCTTTCTGATGCTGAAGGAAATCATCTTTCTTCTTGGTTTACCTTTTTGATTGGCATTGATGCGCTGGTCAAAGATTAGAATTCAACTGGCTCTTTGTTAAAAATGTTTAGGAAAGGAACATGCTATTCTGTCATTCACAATCTATTTTTTTTTTTTGGGAAAAGCATTCACAATCTATTGTTTGTCGCTTGTTAGTAGTTATGCCCCGCAGCCCACTCTAGTCCCCAATTTGGGATACCTAATATGGTTGCCAGGTATGAAATGCAAAGCATGAGATGAGATTCTGCAATAAAATGAGAAATGATGGTACTTTGTGTAATATTTTTTAGAGGGCACCGTAGTTCTGCTTGTAGTGGTACAGTTGAATCAAATCCTGAACTAAGAAGTAGTATCAGCAGCTCTGCATAACAGAGCACAAGTGACACCAGCACTATTCATGTCCCAGATGTTATAGTAGCTGTACTATCTTTTTCTTCACTTACCTTCACACTCTATGTACACAGGGCCAGATTGCTTTGCATATAATGAATTGCTGCTTAAAGTTCTAAAGTAAATCTATGGGCACATAATTGCTGAACTGTTTGTCATAATTGCAATATTTTTATTTTGCTAATTTGTTTCTCATAGTTGGTCATTTTGCAATTGAGTTTGCTTAATCATTTCCAGAAAGGTAGTCGGTCCTCTAGATGAAAAATAATATGGAAATATCAGGAAAAGACCCAGACTTGCCCCATTTCTGATTTGTACAAATTATATAACATACACTTCTCACACCCAAAGAAAAGAAAATACAAAATCATTCTCAATGGAAAAGATTTGACCACATAATACAGAACAATGACAAGAAGCTTCCAAAATAAAAGGGAAGCATGCGATAATGCAAAAAACATTTTGGTTGGTTATCCAATATCAAAAGAACTAGGTATTGGTGTTGGAGTTTGACAGATTTACTTCAGTGCTACTACTCTCTTGATCCACCGTGGGTAAAAGCTAAATCTTCTGTGCTTTGATCTAGGTGAGATTACCTAAAAAATGGAAAGGATTGGGGAGGAAGATACATCATAAATGGAGGAGAGAACATGAACAGTAGAGACAAGGTTCGATATAGTAGAAGCATGTATCTGAAAATAGTGTGAAACGCTAAAAGTGGGCAATATTTCTTTATTTTGATCTGTCACAATGGTTTTGGTCTGTAAGATATTGTTTGGATGCAACTTGAGCTTGGCACCACCCACTTCAACTGATCCTCCCATTTGACCTTTCATATATGTGTATGTAAAGACAAAGCATTTTGATTAATACTTCCATTTGAAATATAATTTTGTTACTCAGAGCTAGTGGTTGATATCCAGTTTCTGCATTTAACAAACGAACATATGCCTGCCTGCATGAAAGCCATACATTATATTAAAAACAGGCCTAGGCATCTCCATGCCATAATACATGAGTAAGGATTTAGGGTTTTTTAGTCTTTGTTTATATGAGTTTTTTAGTAATGTTATGTTATGTGATTAGCAAATAGGAAGTATCATATGTATGGGGTGCATGTCCCTTGTATTTGTTGGATGCCAATGCTCTTTTACAGCAACACTTTCTTTCTCTGACTACCCATATTGACATCAATGCAACTGTAAGTCTGATCTTATTTACTCATATCCTGTCTTTGCAATTACAGGTCACGGTCATCCTGGAGATTATTATGCGAAAGTGTGGTTCTGCATCGGTGAAATCTCTAGTACCTGAGAAATATCGAGATTTTGTTAAGAATGTCTTGGAGGTAATGTGCCTCTCCTTCAATTGCCATGAAAAACAAATCTCAGGTTTTCATTATGCTAGCTTAATGTCCACAAATTGCCAATGAGTGCCATCTTGTGCAAGCTGTGTTAAGATCTTAGTTATTTTGATGATAGAAGCCTCTCCATCTCTATGCTTAGTATGGCATGTTACACTCACATCTCCCTCCTTTTAGCAATTCAAATTATTTACATCTAACCTTATACTGATTTTTCCCTCTAAGATAAACAAATAGATGTCTCAATTATGAATCTCGAGTTTTGTTTCTTTTTCTTGTTTCTGGGTAGCTGGATATGCTACGGAAATGGTTCTGTTTGATTTTATGCATAAAACTAACGTCATCAGTGTTGTTGAATTACAGAACCGTCAAGGCAAGACAAGTTCCCAGGAAGCTGTCACAACCAAAACCGAGGCAGAAAATTCTGATACAACTCCCAAGAGGTTCTAACTTCATAAAATACACTTTCCTATGCTTGACTAGTTTATGCCTTTGATATTAAGACAATTTACTTTTATTGTTTTTGACTTTTTTTATTCAGTAGACAAAAGAAGATACCCAAGGCAGCTGGGAGTATTACCAGCAATAACAACGAACGTTCAACGGAACCCCGAAAGAGGAAGAGGGATGATAAACGCAGCTCATATAAGCCTCGTAAATTTGCACCTGCAGGAAACACTGTTGATAGGAAGAAAGAAGTAAAACATTCAGGCAAAAGGAAAATCGCGAATTTCAAAAGTGATAACTCAGGTGGGAAGAGACGGAAACAGTGGACGAAGAAAAATACACGCGTTTAGTGCTGTAAAAAAAGAGTTTTGAGACACTTGGATCCATCATGTTGTCAGCCATCTAAATTCTGATACTAATACGTGCAATTCATTATCCTTCCAATTTCTGAGTAGTTGCTATTGGAGTGAAGTAAAGGCTATGAAGGATACAACCGTTATAATCCAATCTTGACCCTCCATTCTCTTGATCAACGGTTCAGAATTTTCTAATTGTTAATTGATTTAAAAGGATATATTTTAATCATTTGAAATTTAAACTTAATTTGCACCCGAAGTTTTTCTCACCCTCCTCCCCCCCTCTCTCTCTAGGTTGCATACAGTAGCAAAGGATTCTTAGTCACATACCGCAACCATGAGGTTTCTGATTGTTAATTGATTCGAAGTTGGGTTTTTTAGTCGCATACAGAAGCAAAGCAAACCAAGAAAGTGAAAGGGAGTTCGATTGGGGCTATAGTAGAGGTCAAAACTGCAGCAAAGGATTAACAACAGCAAGAAAGGATAGACCAGCAACAAAACATCAAACCCAAAAAGCTTTGCATCGAACTTCAGCCCCTTCGAGTCGGCCATGGGGCAACAGCCTCTGACGCCCCACAAGCCCTTCGAGTTGGCCATGGGGCAACAGCCTCTGATGCCCCACGCCATTGCGTGTATAGGAGGTTTTTCAATTTCTTTCTTGTTTTAAAAGTGGATAACATAAGGGTCTTAACTGTTTTTTAATTGTTTTAGTTTTGAGATGTTGGTTATCTTGGTCTTGAGAAATAAGTTATTGGTGAGTAATTTTCCATATTGTTTCACATGTGAAAAGGTGATGGATTTTTTCATATATGGAATATTTTTCATATTGTTTTCTATATGAAAAAGTGATAAATTCTTGTATATGGATATGGTTTCATATATGAAAAAATGGTGTTTTTTTTCTAAATGATTATGAATGGTTATAATTGTTCATGTATTACAGTTATGAATTAATATAGTAACCGAATATGATATTTAATTAATTAATTTTTTTTAAGAAAAATCTGAATTATTCTTAGAAATATGAATTTTGTGGAAAGATCCAAATACCCTTTGGTTCTAACGGCTGTACCCTTTAAGTAGGTTGCATTTGAAGATACACACACACAAATATATATATATATATATATATATATATATATATAGAGTTTGGTTCAAATAGTAACCAAAAAAATTGTGTTAACTATACTAACCAAGCTTAACCAATCATATTTTATGTTCAAATGTAACTCATATATTAAATACAAGGGTAATTAGGTAATTTGACATCTATGTAACTCCTTAATAATTAATTGAGAGTTACAAATCTAAAGATCTCATTCATTGATCATGATGTAATATTGAATTTTATTTTCATTAGTGTTCATGATCGTAGTTTACAAATGATGTTCTACGTATAATGATATTGTTCGTAAGTGTAAAAGATTTCCGTATCGTCCGAGTAACATGGATAATCCTATTGTAAAACACATTGACAACAATGGAAATGACAAAATCGTCTACGACTACATTCGCAATTCGAATTCCGATAATGATCAAAGCGTTCCTATTAGTAAGTGATTAGTATAACATTTGAATTCGTTTAAATGAACACATATCAAAGGCAATTGATGTTCATATCGATACATATGCACAATTACATCACATGAATATGAACAGTATCTGTAATTCATGTGAACACAAGCTTCGAAGGTGTTCATGTACATACAACAGAGTCGGCTCCTGAATATACAGAAGATGTTCATACGGTTCACATGTTGTTCATATGTCTAGTCTTTTTTGTTTGATTTGTTTTGAGGATATACACAAGTTGTTCATATGTCTGACAACTTGTTATAACCGGTTTCAGACAATCTGGGTTAAGGTAAAATTATACGTTATTAATATTTGAATATCTAATGGTATGCATGATAAAATAATATACATGGATGATATATATGCAAAGACATGATGAACGTAAAAGGATGCATGCATATGTTATGTTATGTATGTGTATACATGTGATAAATT